AGACAACCATTGTCCTTTAATATTTATGCGTAATTCCCATTTCACCATGCAGAATATTAAAAGATACGTGCTCAAGGGTTGAGATTTAATAAAAATAATAGTTTTTACTACTTCATCAAGGCCATTCTTAAGGAAAATGAGCCCCCCCACCAAAGTATGCAAAGGCTGCAGTGCAGTGTGGAGCCAATACCTTGATTTATGCTTACACGCCAGCCATTTTATCCACCATTGCTTTTGCACCATTAGTGCCAATGTCGACAGTGAAAAGGGCTAATAATGTATTATGATGAAAACAATTTTGACCCTAAAAACCCTCTCGAGGACTGCTGCCCTAACAAATACCTCATGACTGGTCACAGCTACTTCTAGAACATGGCAACAGCTCAGAATGAAGCTACTACTCCATAACGCCTACAATTAGCCACTCACCATTTGTTTAGATGATTTTGAAGCTCACATAAAACCTAAGATTCCTCAAAGTACTTCCTTTGAATTTTCCTCAGAAACACAAGGGGAAAAAAAAGGATGATCAGAAGCAGAGACTGTTAATTAAATTTATGGTGTATAATCCTAAGCCAGTCCTGTAAGTCCTACATGTGAGAAAGAGAACGTAATAGAGGTAATGGAGGATGTATGTTCAAGGACAGTAATAGCCAGTAAATCTTGGCAGGCCAAACACAGTGGAACCAGAGCTAGATGTGTCTGTGCAAGACTCAATTAAGCTCCCTCTCAAAAGATGCAGTGCAGCAGTGAATCTAAATGACAGAGGACATTAGAGAAGCCACATTGTGTCACAGGAGAGACAGAGACACAGCTTAAGGATAGTGGGCAGCTTCTTCCTTAATGCTTTCCTTTATACTTCCCTTGGGTTCAGTCAACAGGAATCCAGAGACAAATATGTAAACAAAATCCAAACACCCTCTGAAAGCTATACCAAAAAACCAAACCACTGCAGTTGGGTCAAACTCCAACTCACAGCAAACCTACAGGACAGAGTAGGACTGCCTCATAGGGTTTCCAGGGCTGTAATCTTTACAGGAGCAGACTGCTACATCTTTCTCCTGGGGCTGGTGTTTTCGAACCGCCAACCTTTTGGTTAGCAGTCAAGCGCTTTAATCACTGCACCACCACGGCACCTTCTGAAAGCTATACTCAACTCCAAATGCAAGAAGAGCAAGTGCGAACAGCAGTTGTCCTCAATTAGTCAGCCTGGACCGGACCTAAACTAAAAATGAGATTCTTCAACCGAAGTCACTGTCCAAGGTCATGCAATGGGTCAGTGGAATAATGAGCCTAAGAACAGGAGCCAAAATGTCATCTTACATCTGGCAAAATGCTTCCAAACCCAGGAGACATTATTGTCCATGGCCTTTGCTTTCCAGTCACCTCTAGGATAGGCTAGATCTCAGGCGGGGTGAGCTGAGGAGCACAGATGGTCAACCGCATGATTCAGGAACCAGTGGTCATTGTGTGCTCACTGCAGCTTTCCTGCACTGCCTCGCATCTGTCCTGAAGTTGACGAGCAATGCACATCCACACTGCAGCCACAACTGTGGTCAGCTTGCCAGCAACCATACCTGGTGGTTTCTGAGAGCTCTCTGCAAAGGAGACTTCAACTGTGGGCAACATGGCTGTCCTGACTCTGGAAGTGTCACATGCATAGTTTTCAAAGTATGGCGTGAAATGTGTATTTGCAGATTAGCCCAAAAGCATCCTGCAGCCTAAATTCAATTCAGTGAAAGTTAAGAACACTAATCAGGAAGACACACCCACTCTAATCTTCTCTGTCCTCCTTTCAAAGGGTTTGCAATATTCACTGGTGAGCAATGGGTGCTTTCTTCACAGTGTGTCATCCAGAGGAGGGTGAATGTGAGTCCTGGTGTGTTCCTGCTTTCATGTATTTGCTCTCTGCTGAATATGCCCCATGCTGTCATCTGGTGGAAAAAATGAGCAACTGCCTTGTGTGCCCAGCCTCGACAAAAGCATTCCTGCTCCACAGTTTCTCTTTACTACAGAGGCTGGTGGACAATTTTGACCCCATCTCTGGCTTCATCTGCTGTGCTATCTGCCCCAGGCAAAGTCCTTTACTAAGATCCTCAGCTAACTACCAAGGTCTGGTGGAGACAATGGTCAGAGACAGTTAGCAATTACCACAGTTAATCTCAAACTCTCTAAATACAAGGTGGAGAGGGTTTAGAGGTAGCCAGAGGAATTATAGCGATAACCAAAAACAAACAAACCCACTGTCATCAAGTCCATTCGGACTCATAGCAACTCTTTAGGGAAGAGGAGACCTGCCCCACAGGGTTTCCAAGGCTGTAAATCTTTACAGAAGCAGACTGCCACATCTTTCTCCCACAGAGCAGCTGGTGGGTTTGAACTCCTGACCTTCTGGTTAGCAGCTGGGCACGCTTAACCGCCGTGCCACCAGGGCTCCTTCAGAATGATAAAGAAGGGGATACAGAAGTGAGTGGGGGGAAGGATCTGAAGAATCCACAAAGGGGGAAGGATATAGCCAAGAAAAAATGTACAAATAAAACTTATCAACTGAAAACACTGCCCCTAGGGGTTTTTAAATATTTTTGGCTCAATGGTCAGAAAAATTAATTCAGAAATACTGAAGTGTATAAAGATAAGGTATGAAAAATGTCTCATCTCAATATATTAAAATGAGAAAAAGACCTATTCATTAAGTTATAAAAATAATAAACCCACTTTTATATATAACATATATGGGGGGAAGGAAAAAAACCAAACCCAAGAATATCCCCCAACAATAGTTATTCCCAGATGGTGGGCTTTTATTTTCTAATTTTTGTTTTTCTGTTTGTGGCAGGATGCTTTATTAAATGCTAATTTGTTTTATTTATTTATTTAGGGTAATTTTCCTTTATCCCATTCTAAGAAGGCAGGAGGGTCCTTTGTGCCCCCTGGCTGAGGACAGCTGCATAGCCAGGCTAAAAGTAAAAGCTTTCTGAGGACAAGTGTTTAAAGCGTAAACTCACTGAAAAGAATTTATCTCAGAGGGTACTCTAGAGGAAGAAGGGAATCCAGTGCCTTTGAAGGAAAAGAGGAGAAAATGAGAGTAATTTCCTAGGACTAGGAAAAAAAAACAAAAGTTAACATATTCTGTCAGTGGGGCCTGTGAGCACTCCAGAAGCCTGCGGGCTTTGAGAGGCTGAATTCTGAACACTGACCAGGGCTCCCAGCCTAGGTAAGACCCTCACACTCAACACTGCCCGCAAGGAAGAGTTACTGGACCTCAACAGACCACATGGGTCAGGACAACAGGAATCTTGGCAGTAACTATTGTGGCCAGAACTACAGATAGCCCCCAGAATACTGTGCTCTAAATAAGAACCCTGGGACCCTGTCAGACCCTAGCACAAAGGCTCAAAGCCAGGTTTAATTTAATTTAAAGAAATAATGTGAATCTACTGGTCCCACCCTGTCTGGAGCAAAGAAGAATGAAGAAAACCAGACACAAGGGAAAGATTAGCCCAAAGGACTAATGGACCACAACGACCACGGCCTCCACCAGACTGAGCCCAGAGCAACTAGCTCTGGGCTACCACTAGCTACCACAATCGACTGCTCTGACAGGGATCACAACAGAGGGTCCTGGACAGAGCGGGAGAAAATACAGAATAAAATTCAAACACACACGAAAAGACCAGATTTACTAGTCTGACAGAGACTGGAGAAACCCTGAGAGTGTGGCCCCTGGACACCCTTCTAACTTAGTACTGAAGTCACTCCTGAAGTTCACCCTTCAGCCACAGATTAGACAGGCATATACAATAAACAATAACACACATAGTTCAACCATGTATATGAGGCTAAATGGGCACACCAGCCCAAAAGCAAAGACAAGAAGACAGGAAGGGACAGGAAAACTATACGAATGGAAATGGGAAGAGTGTTGACACATTGAGAAGCTGGGAACAAATATCTCAAAACAATTTGTGTATTGTTTAATAAAGAAACTGATTTGCTCTGTAGACTTTCACCTAAAGCACAATTTTAAAAAACTGATATTTAAAAAAATAACAATGTGACATTAATTACACACCAAATTTGTGAAATAAGATTTGTAATCACTGCATGTTTTCCAAAATTTCTAAAATGAACGCACATTACTTTTACAGTCAGAAAAAAGGTCAGTAACAAAACTTCATTAAAAATAACAAAAAACCCTGTTTCTTTTTATTATTGGTAATGAATGATCTGCCTTAAAGAAAAGAACAGTAATATCAGCACTGGGTATATGATATCGTGGATCCAGAGGCAGCTTCAACATTTGAAACAGCACTGCTCCTTGGACCCTTGTGGTTTGAAATTTCCATTTATGCCACAGCAGCCTCTGGTAGGGGACATAATTCAAATAACCCCAGGAACACAGAAGCACACAAAACCTTTTCTTTGTGGCTTCTTTTTTGACTTAGAAGACATAGTTGCTTTTCAAGGAGATGCACAACGGTTATAATAGCACAATCATTAAAAAATCAGAGTTTTAGAAGTTCTTTCTGGCATCAGAGTCTCATTTTAAATTAATACCAACACATCTATTTTGAAAGCGTGTTAAATCAGCAGGAAGGAATGCTTTACACATATCCATCTCCAATCCATAATACCTCCTGTTCTCACAATGAAGTGTTATCTTTCCCCGGTCCTTCCAAGATAAGATTTTTTCTTCCTGACTCAGTTTTGAGAAGGTGAAAATCACACTCATGAGTGGAAATGAAATGAAATCATCTTAATAAGCAGCGATCACCCCCAAGCCTTCTCGTACAACTGGTCTCTATAATGTTCAACACCTACTTCTCTACCAAACAACCCCCAAGTGCTCTTGCAAAGTTAAGCCCCCAGGACTCCTCTGGCCTGCCTCCCAGGAAGACAGCACCCTAAGACCATAATCCTTCCCTCTACCTCTTAGCAGCACCCAAGCACATGGGTTCAGGGAAAGGTGAGCAGCACAAAAAGAGCACAAAGGAACTTGCCTTTTCCATCTGTCGCTGATGCTTCTTGTAAATGTCTGATTGACCTAAAAAGAGACATTAGGAAAACAAAAGGTTAGCCAGCAAATCTGCATTCCTGCTTATTTCTAGTTCTAATAACTAAGTATGATCCTCGCAAAGTCACATATATTTTGGGGCCTTGAATTCCTCAATTATAAACTGAAAGGGCTGGACTAGATTTTAGTCCACACTCCCTAACTTAAAAAAAAAAAGAGCGAGATCTTTGATATTAACTGGGCCATCCATGTATGGCACTCAAGTCTGAGAGTTAAAGATGCCCTCTGCTGGCCAATCTGTGGCTAAGTCTGGCAGGAGCTAGGGTGTGAGAAAACAAAGCAAAACTCAAGGAATTAACACCTGTGATCTCCACCTAATCTCTCATTCCCACGACTATCCCTACCACACACACACTGCTAAGACAATGGGGCATCTTTGAGCTCACCTCCTCTCTGGGAAGAAGCACCCCTCTAAGAAGGTCACCAGACTGACTACCGATTTCTAAAGTCTAGGTCTTGGTACTGTGAGCATATGGCTTCTCACAAATTTGGTATTTCACTGGCTGGAGATTTAAAACTGCTGAAAAACGCCAGCCTCCAGGGAGTCTTTTATTTGGCTGCGACGTGCCAGTAACTAATTACCATCTTACAGTTCAGGCAGGGAACATTAATATTACTAATGAAGCCCTAGACTGGAGTTCTAGGTATAGCTCAAAGCCACCAAGGGAAAGACTGCTTTAAAGAGAGAGCACAGCACAAGCAGATATGGTGGAGTGGGAAGAGGGCAGGGTCTGAGAGACCCAGGTTTAAGGACTGACAACTGCCACTCACTCTTTACTTGACCATGAAAAAACTACTCTTCTAAAATCTCAGTTGTTTGCCCATCTGTAAGATGGGGCTGTTTGCTGTAAGAACTGAATGGAGCAGCATGTGAAAGTTAATTAGCACAAAGCTGGCATCAAACCAATGCTAGCTGAATCTGAGTATTTTTAAAAAATTACCTAGAGAATGATTCTCTCTCCCCCTCACCCCCCACCATAACCATTAATAATCATTGGTCTCTACATCTTTACCTATTCTTGTCATTTCATAAAAGTGAGATCCCACATTATTTGTCTTTTTTGTGATTGACTTATTTCAATAAGCATACTGTCATCAAGGTTCATCCATGTTGCAAGCCTGTGTCAGGACCTCATTTTTCTTTGGCTGAGTAGTATTCCATTGCATGCATATACGTTCAGTGTGACTGATTACTTTTGTGTGGGCTTTCTAGCCATGGTCTTGTAACTCCCACCCAGGTGACTGGGTGGGACTGTGTGATAGGGTAATTGTGGCCCACCAAGGGGATTGGTAGAGAAGGACATCATGCTTGGTAAAGTAGAGGGCCAGCGAAAAAAGAGGAAGACACTCAATAAGATGGACTGACACAGTGGCTGCAACAATGGGCTCAAGCATAGCAACGGTTTTGAGAATGGCACAGAACCGGGAGATGTTTCATTCTGCTGTACACAGGGTCGCTATGAGTTGGAACTGCCTCAACGGCACCTGACAAAGGGGACTGGTCAGTATTGCCTTAAAAGACAGCCAATTCCAGAGCAGAGAAGAAGATCCTACCACCACCAAGGAAGAACAGCCAGGAGCGGAGAGCGCATCCTTTGGACCCAGGATCCCTGCACTGAGAAGCTCCTGGAAGCAGGAGATGGAGAGAGAGAGAGAAAGAGAGACAAAGAGAGGCGTAACCTTGAAGACGGTGAGAAGCAGTCGCAGGAGAGACCCGACAGCAGAGACCCAACAGCAGGAGATGGCGTGGTGGACTTCCTGGCCCACGGAAAGAGAAAGCTGAGTGCCTTTGGGCAGAGGCCAAGGGCCAGGGAGAGGCGTGCCTGCGAGCACAGCGGGGGAGAGGCTGCCCAGATAGAAGAACTGTATCCTGAGTGTTCCTGAGCCTGAATTCTAACTGTTACTTCCCTAATAAACCCCGTAATTGTGAGTATGGTCTGTGAGTTCTGTGTGGCCATTGCCAATGAATTATCGAACCCAGGAGAGAGTGCTGTGGGAGGGATAGTTGATGTCAGAATTGGTAAAGATGGCAAAGACGGGAGGTTTGTTGGGCCTCCGCCTCATGGGAGTCAGCCTTTCGCTGCTGATCTTGGTTCTCCGTCTCCCTTGTGGGGCTGGAGGAGGTCAGACACCACCCCCATGCCGTTTTTACAATACCATATTTTGTTTATCCATTCATCTGCTGGTGGGCACTTAGTTGTTTCCATCTTTTTGCTATTGTGAATAGGGCCGCAATGAACATAGGTGTGCATATGTCGTTCATGTTGCTACTTTTAAATCGCTAGGGTATGTACCTAGGAGTGGAATTCTGGGTCATATGGTAGTTCTACTTTTAATCTTCTGAGGAATCGCCATTCTGTTTTCCACAATGGTAGTACCCTTTTACATTCCCACCAGCAATGGATAAGACAGCTGATCTCCCCACATCCTTGTCTGTATTTGCTATTTTGTTTTTGTTTTTTTTTTTTTTAAATCATTACCATTCTAGTAAGAGTGAGGAGTTATCTCAGTGTAGTTTTGATTTTCATCTCTCTAATGGCTAATAGGAGCCCTGGTGACAAAGTGGTTAAGAGCTTGGCTACCAACCAAAAGTGTGGCAGTTTGAATCTACCAGCCACTCCTTGGTAACCTGATGGGGCAGTTCTACACTGTTTTATAGGGTCGCTATGAGTCAGAATCAACCCAACAGCAACGGGTTTGCTTTTTTTAATGGTTAATAATGATGACCATCTTTTCATGTATTTATTGGCCACTTGGATATCCTCTTTGGTGAAGTATTTGTTCATGTCTTTTGCCCATTTTTTGATTGGGTTATTTGGTTTTTGTTGTTAAGATGTAAAAGTTTTATATATATTCTAGATTTCAGATCCTTATCGGATACATGGTTCCCAAAGATTATTTTTCCCAGTCTGTAAGTTGTCTTTTTACTCTTTTGATAAAGGTAATAGTGAATTTTTGTTTATGATGATGGGAAAGGTGACACCAAATGTGGACGAAAACTGCACAACTTGACTAATGTGAGTGACATCACCAAGCTGTATATAAGAAAAAGGACGAACTGGCAGTTGTGTTATACATAATTTTGGAACAACAATCCCTCTCCCCCCAAAAAAGGGGCTACAGCTGCTGATGCTACTTAGATAAAACCAAATTCCCCATGGAACTAGTTTTCTTGGTTTGATGCATTAGAGTCATGGTCTTGAGGGACAATCCAGTCAATTGTTATAATACTGTTTTTAAAAGTTCTGTTCTACCTCCCAGTTTGGTGAGTATGTCTAGGGTCTTAAAAGCTTACAAGGGGCCATCCAAGATACAACAATTGGTCTCTATTTGCCTGGAGCAACAGAGGAAGAAGGAAACCCAAGAATCAGAGAAACAACTGGACTAAGGACTACTATATTTTACGCAAATAATGCATGCCTTCTATGTTTGTTTGCCAACCATGCCCTCCCCCTGCAAGGTATTTTCGTAAGCACACTATGTCAATTTATTTTTACAGCAACATGTTAAAAAAAAAAAAAAATGGCACAGCAGTGCTTATAAAAATACCTTGCAGGGGGAGGGCATGGCTGGCAAACAAACATTTGTGTAAAAATAAGTCAACAGCTTCCATTAACCACTGCTTCCTCTAACATGAGACCAGAAGAACTGGACGGTGCTCAGCCACCATTACCAAACGTTTCAATCAGGGGTACAGAAGATAGACTCTGATACAAAGGGAAAAAATGTGAAAAAGAACTTTAAATTCTGAAAGAATCCAGACTTACTGGACCCACTGAGGCTGCAGAAACCGTCAAGACTATTGCCCTGGAATACTCTTCAAACCCTGAAATGAACTACCCCCTGAAATCATCTTTAAACAAAAAAAAAAATTCTAGCTCAAAAAGTAAAGAATGTCATCCTTAAGTATTGTGCGTGTGTATTTTTTTAATTATCTTTATGAGATCAAAGGGACAACAGTAATTCTAAAGCACAGATGAAAGTTTAGGGGGTAGTGAGTCTAAATTAATGGGGGTGAGGTGAAACAATCAGAGCAGAAATAATGAGAATGTTGACACAATGTGAACAATATAACCAATGTCACTGAACAATATGTGTAGAAATTGTTAAATGAGAGCATGTTTTGAAGTGTATATTTTCATTAAAAAAAAATTAAATAAAAAATATCAATAATGAAAGCATAGACTTACTAAACCCATTACTGTCGAGTTGATTCTGACTCATAGCGAACCTACAGGACAGAGTAGAACTGCCTCGTAGGGTTTCCAAGGGAGCGGCTGGTGGATTCAAACTGCCAACCTTTTGGTTAGCAGCCAAGCTCTTAACCACTGTGCTACCAGGGCTCCTAGAATAACTACTTCTGATATTACCCCTCTAGTACTGTCATGGTTTGAATTATGTCCCCCAAAAAATGTGTATATCAATTTGGCTAGGCCATGATTCCTGGTACTGTGTGATTTTCCTGTATGTTGTAAACCTGCCTCTGTGATGTTAATGAGGGAGGATGGGTGGC